GTCTTCTGTAAGAACAGTGTTCTTAACCACTGAGCCATCTCTCCAGCCCCATATTATAATAATTTAAAACTCATCTTCATAATTTACCCATAGGATACATGTATGTCTAATACTCATATATTTAAGGAGTAAAGTAGATTATACCATTTTTTATTCCTTTAGGAAGTTATGTTCCTTCTGAAAATGAGCCATTTCTGTACACTGGTGCTTTCTTATCCATTTTCTATCCACAAACACCACAAAGGTCAACTGTCATTTTCAGAGGGATAGACAGTTGGCTCAGTGTTTAAGTTGCTGCTCTTACAGAGGACCTGAGTTCAGTTCCCAGAACTCACTTTGGACAGTTCACAGCACTTGTAAATTCAAATCTTGGGGATCCAATGTCCTCCTCTGACTTTCCTAAGCACACATTCTAGTGGCATGCACACACAATGACCAAATATGTACATAAATAAAAATGTTTAAAAACCATATAAGACGTCTTGAAATATGTAGAGATCAGACACTGAACAGGACAAAGGTGTCTAAGACCTAAAGCAAGTTCTAGAATGGCTGCCCTGCCAAATGGCTTTCTAATGGCTACTGACCTGAACTTTGGATTCTGTCACACCCATCAATCTTGCCAGATGTCTCCTGGGGGCAGAAATTGCAGATGTTCAGTATTTGGCATCATGGATTAAATAAAATAAATGAATAACGTTTTATTATTGTTTTTAAATAATTGTCCAATGTCCCCATCTTCTGAGCCTTTAAAAATTGTACCAGTAATTATATTTTGTGATCAATCTGCCATAAATAGACCTGAAAATACAAGCATGTTCCTAATAAGCAATTTGAAAACAGCCATTATAGAAGTAAAACCCTGAAAGTACTACTCCGACCTCCAAGTGAATTATTGCAGGAGACTCTGCCTCACACAGCAAAAACTGTGTGAGGCACTATGTCAAGATACAAGGAGACAGACTGATAAAAAATAAAATCAAATAGGACTAGAGAGTTGGCTTAGCACTTAAGCGCACTGGCTGCTCTTGCAGAGGACCTGGGTTTGTTTTCCAGTATCCACAGGGCGGCTAACAACCATAGGTAACTCCAGTTCCATGGGATCCGATGCCCTCTTCTGATTTCCGCCGGCACTGCACGACACAGGTGCACTTATGTACATGCAGGCAATACAATCATTCACATAAAATAAAAGTAATAAATAAAATGAATTTAAAAATAAAAAATAAAAGCTAATCAATTAATACAAAGCACAGGAGAATCTCTAATGGTCAATTCTTATGTATCCAAACTGCTGCTCATCAGGGACATGAGATAGTACATCCCATTTATTTATTTATATCCTCATTTATGTATTGTGTATGTGTTGTGTGTGTGTTTATCTACGTTGTATGTGTGGAGGTAGGAGGAAATCTTACCAGATTCCATTCTCTCCTTCCACCATGTGGGTCCCAAGGTTGGTGCAAGTACCTTTAACCCCTTAGCCACCTCATTAGTCTCAGAAAATGAAATGTTAAAACCACTAAATGAGGATTTAAAAAATATCACAACACTGGCCATATTCCTTTAAATTCCTAGCACAAGGGAGGTTGAGGCAAGAAGCTCACTGAAAATTCCAGGCTAGCCTGGATGACAGAGTGTGGTGCTATATTAGAAAACAAGAAAATAAAAATTAAAAACAAATAAGCCTTAATACCCAACACAAAGTTTCTCATGGGCACCAAGATAGCCTCCAACTCATGCAACTTTGATGATCTTGAATTTCTGATCTACCTGCCTCTACCTCCCAAGTACTGAGATTATAGATGAGTACGGCCACATTGAGAATTATATGCATATATGTATTTCTTTTCTGAAATATCCTTCCCGTCTGTAGACCTGGCTAGCCTGCAGTTCATCACTGTAGCCCAAGAGTAGTCTTCCCAGTTCTGTGTTTACAGGCAGAAGCCACGATGTCCAACACTGTGTCTTACATTTATGGATGAAGAAATGTGGAGGATAAAGAAAATTTTAGAGTCGGTCAAATTATGAGATTATGAGAAAGGTGCCAATGTATTTATAATTATAAAGCTTACAGCAAAACATAGATGATGTGCAGATTTATTGATTTAAAAATATTTTATTTATTATTTTTGTTTTTTGTGTATGAACGTATTGCCTGCATGTATGTAAGTGTACCTGTGTCATGCAATGCCCTCTGAAGTCAGAAGAGAGCATCAGATCCCCTGAAACTGGAGTTATAGACAGCTATTAGTCACCATATAGGGGCTGGGAATTGAACACGGGTCTTCTGCAAGAACAGCCAGTGCTCTTAACCAGTGAGCCATCTCTTCGGTCCCATGATTTATTAATGAGTTTTTTTAACTGAGCTTTTTAAATTTCACACAACATTTCCCACTCAAATCCAGACTCCCTCGCTCTGTCTTATCTTGGCCACCCCTGAAGCTTCTCACACCTTTTTAAGAGGACGTTACAAACTCATGCTAAACAACATTGCCCAAAGTTTGCACGATGGTATGAGAATATGATCATTGGGAGTTTGCATGCCCTTCACCCTGAGCCCTAAACCCTCGAGCAGAAGGCAGGAACTTTGCAGCCTGGATGTTGCAGGTGGGCTTCAGCTCTAGAGGGCAAGAGGGCGCTAAGGACATGGCACAGCAGGAAAAGGTGCTTGCAGGCACTGACAACCCGAGTTAGATCCTCAGGACCCATAGTGTGGACAAGTGGACAGAGGAAAGCAAGTTGCCCTCTGACCTCCACACATGGGCCACTACCACTCACTCCAGCCACCCATCCCAGTACACTCACACACCCACTAAATAATAAATAAAATAAAATATAATGCAAAAATTTTAAATGAAGTCAGGAAGGGGCCGAGGGAGAAGGGCAGCCGGCCTCCGTGGTACAGTACATGCTCACTGCAAAGGGCACACAAAGCCGGTCAATTACTCACCGTTTTGCAGGGCTGATGTAGTGACTGCACTGGAAAATGCGCTCAAGCTCCTGCAGTTGCCACAAGTTGAAGTTGTCGCGAAGGGACCGTCGGGACACGAGCACTGGCACAGGCTGTACATCCCCAGGCCTCCTCATGACCACAGAAATCTGCTGCCCTGCGGGTTGTGTATCCGGCCCACCGCCACTGGCACCAGCTTCCTCGAGGTACCCTTGGTTCAGAGGAGCTACAGCGCCAGTGGCAGCAAGACCTTCTTTGCCAAATTCTTGGTTTTCTGTTTTGTAGACTGCTGCGGCTCCGCACACAGGCTCACCCTGTCCTCTCTCTTGCTCACTTCCTCCCTCTCCAGCCTGCATGCTCACATGTGCCTTCGCACCTGGCAGTGGGAAAACACAAGAAACATCAGGACATCGGGGCCCAGCATGGGTTTGAAGGCACCACGACATGCTCTTGATAGAGTTCACCTTGGGCAGTGTCTGTGCCCTTGCCGCTCCAGGGCACCATTCCCCTCATGGAGATTGCTAAAGCAGTGGGCCCATTCGGGTACTGACCATTCTGATTGTCATCGTCCTCCCGAACGCTCAAATGGATCAAGTTGCTGTAGTTGCAACGCTTCATCCTGGACGTGCCTTGCTTGCTTGTGCTTTGGAAGATTCTGAGATGGAGCCCCCTGGTGTTCCGGGAGCAGGGCTGTGACTCTGAGCTGGAGGGGTTCTCTTCCTGCCCTGTAAAAGTTACATTGTAGGCAGTCAAGGGCCTGCTGTTCTGGCCTGCAGCTCACTGCCTGCTCCTGTGGATTGAGTCTGCCGTGCACAAGTGAGAACAGTTTGGTGTTGTGCAGAGCCCAATGTGCTTGCGGGAACTTTGTGGCATTTCAGCATGTAGGAACACAGAACTGGGCTTCCAAGTTGCCCCTGAGTCTTGTCCACTGGCATTTGTGAGAGGAATGAATGCTGGTGATCAGTGCTTACCAATTTGTAGGGAATAAAAAAAGTTCTCCCAATAGTTCTGGTAGCCTTGGAAGAATCTTTAGAGAATGCATATTGGTCTAATTCTCTACACTGGGCACCTGGCACTTGGCAGACAACAAATTTTGCTCCTATGATTATCTCAGTGGCCCCTTCCTCTGGGTGTCACAGAAGGTGAGGTCAGAGTCTGCCATACTCCAATGCTTTGCTGTTATAAGAGCTTGGGCAGGATTTGCACAGCCTCCCGTCTTCTCAGCTGACAGATCCCGGGGTACTTGGTTACCAGGACTACTGGGAGAAGCATTGAGTAGTACTCTTAAGCCTCTTTCAGTACTGTTAAATGGTGTCAGTGTTGCTAGAATTGTTATCTATGTGCTGAGCTTCCTTGAATTTCTCTTGTATACACCCTCTTAATATTTGGTCTCAAATATAAAATCGTGCAGAGCAGGCCTTGATGCTTTGTGTTCCCCTGCAAGTCAGTCAAGCAGCCCCTTCACTGGCGGGTGCTGAGACTGCCCTCATTGCAGTTGAAATTTTTCAGTATTTTCCCCTGCCACTCAGAAAGGGCCCTAAAGAACTCGAGCATCGCCAGATTACTCCCATGTCTGAAGTGTGATTATTCTAAAGCCCTGATACCAGAATAGGAACTCTTCTCCCAGGAAAAGACTATCTCCTAGTTGTGATATATCCCTCAAACGCAGATCTACGTGGATGTTTCCTGGCCTTTGCTCCATCCCACTATGAAACCTGACACTGCTGTGCCAATCTGGTGAGAATCTGAGAATTTTTTGCTTGTTTCTAGCTCTGGCTAAGGTTGTCATGACATCCATTTCTAGACTGGGGATGTAGCTCAGTTGGCAGAGTAATTGCCTAGCATGCGTAAAGCAGTGGGTTGGATCCTGACCACTGAATAAAGTTGGTGTGGTTACTCTAATTCCTGTAAGCTCAGGATGGAGGCAGGGAGAGCCTAAGTACAACTTTTTAAAATAATGGAAATTCTGCAGGATAAAAACAACATAAGGCCCAGTGAACTGTCTCATCAGATAAAGCCTCTAACCTAATGAATATAGCAGAACTCGGGTTGGAAACGCAGAAGACTCTATCTTCAAAATAAAAAATATACCCGCTTCTTTTCATAGATTCATAGTTCTCCATTTTTCCTGTAATGCAGTGAGTGATGGACTTGATATTTTGTAAACCTTACGCAGATATGTTTTTGATGGAACCTATGAATTGTCCTGGAAAAGGTTCCCGGTATGTTAGAAAAATATGTATTTTACTTCTTCTGGTTAATATGCTCAGCCTATCTTTCTGGTTTTGCCTAAGTTTTGTTTAAGTTCCCATAGTCTCACTTTTCCACAGGATATTCTAATTTTTCAATGCATGATTGAAAATGATGGATTGAGGGGCTGGAGAGATGGCTTAGAGGTTAAGAGCACTGACTGCTCTTGCA